TGAAATTTTGAATGAACCATACAATGGCTTGCTTAGTGGCCGCCCCTCCACTGCCATGCAGGCCCCAAGGCCTCGAGTCCACACCTTTCTCATTTGTTCCTGTGGTCCCAGCTCCTAGCACATACCTAAGGCTGCCATCAAAATTACTTGTTAAGGGAACTGACCATAATAAAGACGTGTATTTTCAAAGTGGTATGAAGTAAAGGCACTGCAAACAGATAGCTCTGTGACTTTCCTGGAAACATCATTCTCAACCAGATATTTAGATTTTCTCCATTTTTTTTTTTTTTTTTTCCTGAGAATTGACAGCCACTCACCTGTCTGTTCACCTCCATTCCTTTCGGTGCTGCTGTCCAGACTACCTTCATCCTGTACTACTTGCTTTGTCCACAAGTACCTTCCTCCTATTCATCTTTTATTCCCTTCATGTGACCCTAGAGTTCCAGGTGACTACCCTATTCTGGGCCACCAATGTAGAAAGGCACAAAGGAGACCCAAAGTGGAGGGCTAGCCTCAGTGCTGGTTGGGAAGCCATGAGGAAGGCAGAAATATCACACTTTCTCCAAAGGATCATGGATCTCCCCTCACACTGTCACCTGCTTACTTCCAGTTCCCAGCGGCCCTCCATCCACAACCATCCTGGCCTCCTCAAACAAAGTGAAAGGCGGGGATGACATCAATGTGCTCTGCACTGTCCTAGGGGAGCCTGATGTCGAGGTGGAGTTCAGATGGATCTTCCCAGGGCAGAAGGTAAGTACCACATCTCAGCCAGCCATTTTAACTCATGGTTTTAAGAACTGCAAGAAACCTACGGGACAATGGTAGGGACCAAAGCCTGTTTTCCTCTAAATTACTTCAGCATATTTCCAAATGAATTTTTTTAAGGACAATAAAAGAGACTGATTCCATTAGGTAAGTCACTCAATGTGCCCTCTTTATATGCAGTTTTTCTTCATTACCTTAATTGAGACAAAAGGGAAAGCAGGAAACTCCCTCTATCTTCAGTCTCCTCTTGTAGGTGTGCCAGGGGCTCTTCTTCACAAGGTTCACTGTACATGCTGTGCTCTGGGGCGAGGAGCTTTGAGCAGATATCCACCAACTGGGCATATAAACATGGCCCTGTCCAAAAGGTGCTGTGAGGCCAGAGACCATTTAAAAATAGACTTTCCATAAAAGCAATTATAGGCATATTTAGGCTTTGTGCATGTTCTGCTTGCAAAAATAAATAGCTCCACTACCAACATGGAATAATCCCTTTGTTGCCAGAGGAGATTTGGCCTCTTAAGACATACTCAGTAGCCAGTATACTTCTGGACTAAGGCTATGATGGGTGGAAAATAAATACCTCCGGAGAATAGTATTTTCTAGCATCCTGGTAATTGATGCTTGTTTTTAAGCAAGTGTTGCCACACTTGGAAGGCATTAATGATTTTTAATAGAGGGCTTTTTTTTTCTTCATTGCTCAGTGATATTTTGTGAGCAGAAAAACTCTTAACTTAGTAATATATTACCTTTATTAAATGAATTCAGAAACACTATGTTCTTACCACCAAAGTGGGCCAAAATATTTCAAAAGTGACCATCTCCTCCTAGAAAGAGGGGTCACATTATCCACAGCATCACTTTAATCCATCCTCAGTACAAACCTCTTCTCCCTGGGGTTTTAAGTCACCTTTGCCTGGCTGTGCTTCTCCCTCTCCTGTGTATCAGTGCTCGGGAGTTCTTCATTTGCTGAGAGTGCTTGGGTGTCCGACTTTTAAGTTATATTCAGTATAGTCCCAAAATGAATTTTTTTAAGGACAATAAAAGGTGGGGAATATGAAGGCAGGATCAGCAGGAAATTCTGTTCACGTTTTTATGCTTAATACTAGTTCCACCTGGAGTTCCAAAAAAAGACATTTTTATAACTAAGTAGAAACTTACTCAAGGGCAGAAAGAAATCATCAAACAGTATCCTGAAATTCAGTTCTGCTGGGGGAAAAAAAATGCAGCCTTAAATGATTATACAGTGTAAAAGCTCTCAGAGCCTCCGAGCTCTGCATACCAAATAGTCTTTTCTAAGCATGTGCTTTGCACTTTGAAAGGAAGCTCAGTGATGTTGGATGCACAGGAGCTGTTTTAGAGCAGCCTGCTGCCCTGCTTCAATCTGTGTGGATGTCTTTAAACAGGATGAAAGGCCTGTGGCGATCCAAGACACTTGGAGGCTGATCCACAGGGGACGCGGACACACCACAAGAATCTCCCAGAGCATCATCACAGTTGAAGACTTTGAGACCATTGACGCAGGATATTACATTTGCACTGCTCAGAATCTCCGAGGACAGACTACAGTAGCTACCACTGTTGAGTTTTCCTGACTTGGAAAGTAAAGTATAATGGACTGATGGAAAGCCCATTTGTCTACACAGTTGGCTTTGGGGTTCTTTTTATTAGTGCTTTGCCAGAGGCTGACATCAAGTGCCAAGCCCCAACCCCTGCCTGTGAGTCAGACTCAGACATCCAAACTTCAAGGAAGTCATCCATCTATTAATAGAAGTGTTAACTTTTCTAACAGAAAGCATGTATTTTGATTGCTTACCTACATCCATGTGTTTCTAGTTTTTATACTAAACAAGCATATGTCAATGAGTTTATATAATCATTTCTATTAAATGAGCAAGTTTTTAAAAAACAAGCATTTAGCCCATTTTTCTAAGTGGGCTTGAAGTACATCCAGAATTACTTTGGCAGCAATATTCAGGTCAATACCCAGTATTCTTTGATATAACAGCCACACTACAATTTCAAAATGTGCTTATAGTTTGACTACTTAGCCACAAGTGGCCACTCAAGATTGAAATGTTCAGACATGGCACTTTTTCTCAGTAACTTTAAAGCTAATACGACTTATTGATGAAGGCATTAAAAAAAAAAAGCCTATTAAAAAAAACAAACAAACTGCTGTGCTCAAAAGCACTAATTCTAGTCTATTTGATAAGAACCAGAGCAGGCATTTTTAAAAGTTTAACTTTTAACATAATGTAGACACCATGATTAAGGAAGATATGATTGTCTAGACCCATCTCTGAAAATATTTAGACCATAGCTGTTCCAATTTTATGTTACACAGCAGAAATTCTTAAAACAAGCCAAAATATTTCTCAACACATATCTTTGAATTTAGAAAAGCTTAGCCCTAACTCTAGCTCTGTGAGCCAAATTTCAGCCCATGACGAATTCTGTGGTTGCCTTGGAAATTCCTGTGGAATAGGAGATATGACCTGAACTACTGAGCTGAGAGGGGCTACGCATGGGTAATGCTTTGAAGAGCAAAGTAGGGCAGAGGCTGCAATTCTTACAGTGAATATTCCAGCATTATTTATTTGATCAAAGTAAAATACACTTTCCAACACTACAAACAGCACAACCACAGTTGTTTACACATCCATATTTTAAAGATGTGCCAACATTTTGCATCCTACATGAAACATTTGGTTTGGAAAAAAAAAATCTTAAAAGTTCTCTATTTCTTTTTTCCTATCTTCTCTCCTGTTGTCTCCCATCCTCTGAAGACATGTTAAACTAATTGCTATATGATTTATTTCCCAGACACCTAAATGGTATGGAGGACAGCAGAAAATAGCACAAGATTAACCATGCATAGGGGGTGAATGGCAAACCCAATTTTGGCTAATATCATTGAGAACAACTTGGAAGCATGAGCAGAGATTCCAGGAGGTGGCAGTGAACCTGCGTTCCCGTTCATCTGAAGCAAACATGGATGATTACATACATAACAAACTATTGCAGGTTAAAAATTTCCAACACAATCACTAATGAAAATAACATGCATCATGAATATCAGTTTGCTACGTAGTGTACAGGTAAGGTGATGACTCAAATATCCACCTCTAGTATCCTGAGTCTACAGGGGTTATTTGCATAGTCATCAAATGCAGATTAGTAAATACTGACATCACAATGTTGACACATGCAGAGAGAAGGGAAAAAGCCACAGTTGTCCTTCCACCTTCCCCAAAGTCCTGGAAGTGGGGAAAGTAACAAGTGAATTTTTGAAGAGAAACTCAAACACAACTTGGAGAGTTGTAAAAGCCACATTTTCCACTCATCAGCTGGCCATTCTGCTACCTTCCCAAAGACAGCAGGAGTCCTTAAAGGGTATCCCCAAGAGAGCATTATTCCCAGGCAGTTTGGTTCTAGCAAACACTGCATCACTGGCTTAGTCAAGGTGCCATGTTCACAGACTGCTGAACACAATCTTGGTTCTAGCCAATGACATTCTGTTTTCTCAAAGGTTTCCCAAAATGTGTCAATTCAGATCCAGGCCTTGGTTTATTTGGAAAATAGGTTCAGCACCTTGAAGAGCTGGCTCTGGAAAAGCATATTCCTCTATCCTTGTCCCAGAGAAAAGCAGGTAGGAGGTAGAAGGTTTGCTTTTGTGACTCTGGATGGTGGAGAAAGGACAAAGGGAGAAATGAGGATAATAGGAGAGAAGACAACAGCTTAAATCTGTAAGGAGAACTTAGATCAAGGTAAAAATAAGGCAGAACAATCCATTGCTACTGCCCTTTTTTCTTTATACAGTTTTTTTTTTTTAGAAAAATTAGGGTTCTACATTTGCTCATAGCCTGAGAAAATGGATCATAGCATAGTGTGAGGCTGTAAAAAATCTACAGGTCAATCAAGCTAAGTTTCAACTGACAGGGCTGAACATTGAAAAACTGCCAACGTGTTACTCCAAAAAATGATAGGGAGACTATACAGACATCGACAAGTCAAAGCTTTTCCTGTCGCACGCACCCTCTCCCCACCTCGTTACAGGGCTGAGCAGAGTTGGTGGTAGATCATTAAAATTCAAGCAACTATTGCTTTTTCTTTTATGGCTTTTGTTGAAACTTGTACACTATGATTTTCTTAGTCCATACCCAGTTATATTAAGCTTTTGACTTTTAATGTGCAGCAAAGAAGGCTGCCCCAGACACAGGACACTGTTACATCCATTTCATTCACACCCCCTACCCACAGTCAGACCGAAATAAAAAAATCACAAGAAGGTGTCTGTGGTGAAGAACATTATAAAGGTTATAAATCTTTATCTTAATAGGCCCCTGAGAGTTTTTCCCCTTATGCTTAAGTGAAAAAGGCAATGAACAAGATTCTCTCGTTCCTTAAGTGCTCTGTGCAACAATGTCCACGTCGATCCCGCAATCCTTTTTTGGAGGAGTCTTCTGCAACGAGTCCAAAGTGTTCCTCCAGAGTCCCCGTCTCATAACTAGCCAACTCTGGTGGCAGGTGCTTTCCAGTTATTCTGCAGTAATTCCACATAAGCTAATGTAGCTTTTGCTCCCACAATCACTATTGGGGTCGGTCCTGCAAACCTGCGCCCAGGTGCCTTCAGAGAGTCTGTTGGCTTTCAGAAAGCGTCATCTGGGTGAAACGCTGGGGCTGGGGAAGGAGCCAGAATTCCTTGGTGACTGAAAAGGGATAGCTGAAGACGTGGGGGATCTCTTGGGGCTACACAAGTCCCCGTTGTGCAGCTTCCACAGCAGCTCCTCATTCTCCATGGAGAGGCGCTTGTTGACTTTCGACTCCTTCTCCAGCGACTCCTGCAGCACTGCCTGCTCAGTGGAGAGTTGCCTTAAAAACAAAAAAGGGCCAGAAGCTGTGTGGGTCTAAGTTAACAACAACAACAACAGCAGCAGCTTGAAAAAATTTCTTACCATTTACAATCTGAAAGCTACACCAATAAAACAGAACTCTACACATGGCTACAGGTTATTAAGCTGGCTTAGAAATCCAAATATTGAAAGCATAAGCTGAATCCAAAAAAATATATTTGGGAGGCAACTTCATAGTAGGCTATGACACTTCTGTGAGAATTTTACATGTTTTCTGACTGTCTGATGTTTAGGGTTATTTTCTCTCTGTCTGAAAGCATTCAGAGTGGTTAGGCGGGGGCTCTGGGAGAAGGCTGTCCACCCAGGTCTGTGTTCAGTTCAGACCACTTTGGTAACAGCATGGACACCTCCGATCCCACTTCCCAGATGATCAGTGCCTCCGAAACTCCCAGCTTCAGTCACGTGACCAGGAGGTCCATGGGGGAATGAGCCAAGACAGTAAGGCTACATCAAGGATGGGAGGGGCTAGGAAAGAATGGGCTGTTTCATTTTTACCTTGAAATTGCCATGTGCTTGTCCATCCGAGCTTTTAATTCCTCATTCTCCTGCTGGAATCGCTTTAATTTGTCAACCAAGGCTGTGTTGTTGTCCACCTTGATGAAAATGAGAATTCCAACAATTATACAGTAATAAAAAACAAACAGAATCCCCTCATTTTTTTCAGGCACATTTCTGATGCAAGCACATTTTGGGGAGACTGAGTTAGGGAAATTTAATAGCATATTGGAATATTTAGACACTGGGACACTGCAGAAAGAATCAATCTACAACAGCAAAACAGAGCATCTAGATTATGTATTTTTGAAAATGGTATGTTTCACTACTGACACATCCAAGTTGAAACTTTGTTTCAAATTCCTCCTGAGAGCTTGTTCCCTGCAGGGTCTTTCCCTTTCAAGGTGGTAAAATAAATACTGCAGCTGAATGGCCAGTGTTTGTCAAAGTTATTACATCTTATGGCGATTTTTGCAAAAATAAAAAAAAAATTCTCACATCTGATGAAACTCCTAGGTCAACAGTTCATAGTTCTTGGTCAAAGAAGTTAATGTTCTTGGACATTAAGAAAGTCTTAAACGCATCTCATGGCGACCCTCTGGCAGTTGCCTCTGCATGGCCAAAGGTACAGTGCAGTGGAGCACAGCACCAAACAGAAGGGGTAACACTGCAGAACCAAGGGGTAGCACTCCCTCTTGGTTCAAGACACATATGTTTTGCTGGTCTGCCAAGGTTAAACCTTCAAGAACAAACTGATCAGCTGAGAGATTAAAAAATAAGATTCCTGAAGACATTTAATCACTTAACACAATGGAGAGCCAATTCCATCCAGTTCACTTTTCAAAGGTACGATTTTATTACTTGCTTAAGAGGCAACATCACAGTTTGGTCAGAATTAATCCAAACCTCTGTCATTGCAGTATTATGACTAATCCACTTTGACCCAAGTGCCTGGTTTGGAGCTTTGTTGTCATTTTTTGTTAGTTTTGCAGAACCCAGGGCCACGGGCATGCCAGCAAGCCCTCTACCACTGAGCTATATCCTCAGCGCCCAGTTGCTCCTAAAACAACCTCATATCCAGGAAATGCTCAGCACAATCCATTCAGGTGAAATAACTTTCCAGAAAGTGACTACAGAATAAAAGAAAAAGGAGACCTCAAAATACTTAGTAATTATGAAGGAATTCAAGATGAAAATTAGAGGTGGGAAAACCTGGGCTTAAGAGACTAGGTGGGGACTGGTGTTAAAATATTCTCATCTAAGCCTTCATTTTTATAGAAGAGGAAATTGGTCTTGATAATGATACAGAACTAAGTATTTATCTACTTTTGGTATTAGGGATTGAACCCAGGGGTGCTTTACCATTGGGTTACATCTCCAGTTCTTTTTGTATTTTGAGATAGTGAGACTCAGCGATTTAGACCCTAAGTTGTGCCCAATCTTGTGATCCTCCTGCCTCAGTTTCCAAGTTGCTGGGACTATAGGCTTGTGCCACCATGCCTGGCCAACAGATCTAGCTACGGACAGAGCTGGTTTTGAAAACCACTGCTTTTTTCCTTAGACAACCTCTTCGAAGACCTGGAACTTGCTATAAGTAAGGTGATGGTGGCTGTGCCCATCACAGCAGCAACCCATCTATTGTGATGCTCCTTGGGTGTGGCGAGAGACAGAAACACCACGGGTCAACAAAAACTGAAATGTGCTGGTACTTTCACAACATAATCGATTTCATTACATATGATTTCTGAAAAGTTCTGTTCTATGAACGGCATATGAGGCAACAAATTATTAACAGGATTCTCTCTCTCATCATTACCTGCTGTCCAATCTGGTTTAACAGGACGACTGTTGGCAGGAACTGGTATAGCTACTAGGTTGGGCCCATTAACAATCATGAGTTCCTTTCATTTCTTTAATAAAACCAAGATTTCCTGATGATATAAAGTGTCCATATATCCATGTGGGGGCTTAGCCATTACCTTCCTCAAAAGACAAATAATAGTCTCTAAAGAAAACCAAATGAAACCAAACTTGGCCAAATCCCCAAACTCCCAACAAACAAATGCCAAACAGACCAAGAGCGGCCTCCATGCTCCTACTGTCCATGGCTAGTCTGGGTTTGAATGAGGAACTTATTTGACAATGAGTCACCCATAACAGGGGTGGGGGTGGGGGTGGCAAGCAGTGCTTGGAGGCTGGCTCCTTCGAGAGCACAGTACAACAACAACCGGGATCACTTAAGCTGCCTGGCCAAACCTGCCAACTTGGTTAGAGTCCTGGATAGTGGCAGCTGGGTTTCAAGGCTAGGTCAAGTGAACACTGGCCTGCCACTCAAACACAAGAGCACCAGGCAGCTGGGCTTTGTCCTAAAGGCTGCAAACTAAATTCTATTCATATTTCTCACAATGCTTTCTATTTGTCCCAGTGGATTGATCTTATAAAGCAGAATTCTTTTTTCATACTCTAATTTACATGAAGATGAAGAATTTAGATATTTTATGTTATTCCAATGGAATTAATTTACATACCCAACTGTTCTGGACCTGAGAAACCTACCCAGAGTTGGTGGTTATTAATTTTATGTTATCCCAAAACTTTTATTATACAGGTGAAGATTCACAGACCACTGAAACATGAGTCTGATTCATTTGGTTATAGTTTTTCCAAGAACTGAATGCTCCTTTACATATTTCTTGAAAAACAAATATTCTAGAAGGCAACAATGAATCAGCCTTGATCAAACTTGGAAAAGAAAATGAAATTACCTTTTGTATAATGTCCAAATACATCTAAGTATTGGTGAACCAAACTCCATAGTTCTAAGACTCAGAGTTTGATTCCTATTTCGCAGGTATTAATACATTTGGTAAGATCCTGAATCGACTCTCCTGAAAGAAGACCTACCAGTTTCTCCATTTTCATTAACTTGATGTCCTGTTGATGCAGTTTCTCGTTCTTGATCTCCAACACAGCTTTCAGGCTTTCTAGTTCTTGCTCCAGATACATGATCTGAGGGTTCTTCTGGAAAAGACACAGTTCAACATTGCTCTGACTTGTTTCACACAGTCATAGAGTCTCTTTAATATAAAGAATCTTTATATTAAACATTGATTTGTTTCTAAATCCTGGGAGAATCAGGGAATAGGTCTTAGGGATTACTTAATCCCAGCCTCCAAAGCTTTACTTCACAGAACGAGGAAACACGTTCTGCAAGTCAAGTGACTCACTCAGAAAAGGTCCAGAAAGGTATCAGAACCAGAAAAGATCTGAACAGGGATTGACACTTGGATCTTCAAAACTAAGCTCTTAAATTTTATATTATACAATCTTTATACACATAACTTTTTTGCCCAGAAAATAACAAATCCCATCTCATCTCCCTCCAACCCCTATAGTACTGGGGATTTAAACCAGGGGCTCTTTACCACTCTGGCACATCCCCAACCCTTTTTAGTTTTAAAGATAGGAATCTCGTTAAGTTGCCCAGGCTGGCCTCCAGGAACTTGCCATCCTCCTGCGTCAGCCTCCCCAGTGACGAGGATTACAGGTGGCTTGGCAACAGATTTTAAGTGGCACAAAGCTTTGCTTCTGCAATCCCAGAGCACAAATACTTGTAATGGAAACAGTGGTACTAAGAGCAGCAAGGACCAAAAAAAAAAAAAAAAATCCGCTTTTTAAATTAAAAATAAAGGAAAGGGCAGGGGAGTAGGGATAACACACTATAAGAGAAAGGTGAGCTTTCAAGATAAATTCATGTTTCAAAAGTAATGGTTTATCTATACAAAGAAACATCATTTACTCATAAAGGGAAATGAAGTTAAGTACTGGCATGTGCTCCCACATGGACAAACCCGAGAACATCATGCCAAGAGAAGATGTCAATCACAAAAGGCCACACACTACTGATCAAATGTCCACAACAAGCAAATCCATAGACATGAAAGGCTGCCTGGCTGCTTAGTGCAGGAGGTTTGGGGGGAAATGGGGAGTGATGGCTAATGGGTCAGGGATACTATTTGAAGTGATAAAAATGTTCTGTAATTAGACAGTGGTGAGTGATGCATAATGAATATCCTAGAAAATAAACTGGAAATTTAAAAAGGGGAACTTTGTAATAAATCATATTACAATCATTATTTTTTTAAAAAAAGATGGTTTTCACATAAAACCCTGACCCTGATAGTTTCCTGTAGGTATTTGCTCAGACCACCCTGAATATATTAACTTTCTTTCTGTCAGCTTTTAGAATGTAAAAAGAAAGGAGATACCAGTAAACAAAGAGAAGCTGTTTTACATTTAAAAAAAAAAAAAAACCGAACTGCAAGACATCAAGAGGATTCCAAATTTGCATTAATTCTCTGGCTGCTGAACACTGAATCTGAGAGGCAACTCAGATTCAGTTTTTCAGAAGAAAAACTCAGTAGTGATAGATAGCACACAACTTACCAAATTTGCCTTCTCCCTGGATATTCTTTTTTGCTCTTCTGATTTCAGCTTTTCATTTAAAGCATCGTTTTCACTCTTCAGATCATTGATTTGTTTCTAAAAGACAAACAATGACATGTAGGATGTCAGTTAATCAACATCTAGCAGAAAACAGAGCGAAGGTACACAGGGACATATCCAAACCACAGACATCCAGAATGATGGCTTTTTGTTTGGAGGAGGATATTGAGATTCACCCACCTCTAGTGATTCCTGCTTCTCATAAAGTAAATCCTCAAGCATTTTCTTTTCCATTTCATGGCTCTTCTTGATTTCTGAAAATGAGATTTTTTTTTTTTAAGGCAATAACATTCTGTGATTGCTGCATTCCACAGTTGCTGAAGCATACAGAAGTATGAGCTCGTCATGAAGTTATAACGGGGCTACTTTACATCTGCATGATGCCTTCACATAAATTAAGCAACCTGTTCTCAGAATGGCTTTATGAGTTGGGTAGGGCACTGAGACCCACAGAGCCAAGAGACTTTAGAAAGCACAGAATAGAGGGCAGGGTCTCAAAACAAGGGCTGCGGACTCTAGGTCTGGAGCCCTGTGTTCTTTTCAATGTGCACTTCCTCAACACAATAGCCTACTAAGATTAAGCTTGTTTCCAGCACAAAGATGGAAAAACAAGGTTTATTAAATGTCTACTGTGAGCCAGTCACCTTCACCTATCGTCATCTCTGACCTCACGCAGCTCTATTTTTCTGATGAGAAAAGTCCTTGCTCAAAGTCACACAGCCAATTCCCACCACGTGTGTGTGTGCTCCTCCCCAAGATGCCCCTGGCTGGTGTGAAGACTCCAGCCACACTGTCAAGTTCTGAAAGAAAGGGCTTCTTGTTCTTTTCCTTCAACCTCAATCTTTCCAGTGATGACAGGAGAGATAATAACAAAGGCTTCTTTCTTGATCCAGTGAGCGCCGCCGACATTTCACAGCAGTGCTGGTGTGCAAGGCAGGTACTGTGGCTCCTTCACTGTGGCATGATATAAAACTGATGCCTTCAACTTCCCAGGAGCATAAAATAGCACCCAGCTACAACAACCAACACCAAAAAGGCCTTTAAAATCTCTAAAAGTTCATACTGCTTCCTAAAAGACTGGCCTTTATAACAAACGCTTATTTGTATCCTTAGGGAGAAAGGGCCTCCATTAACAATGAACAATATAAAAAGAAACCAAGAACACCCCAAGATGAATACCACAGGGCATTCTCTGGAGGGGAAAGTATGAATCATTTCTGCTTAAAGAAATGTCATGTTTTTCCATTATCTCATTTTTAAATAGCAAATAACATCCTTGCCTGAAAGGGAGTTTTCATAGGCCTTCTTTAGCAATTCCACTTTCTCCGAGTGGTTAGCTTCAATTTCCAGCTTAGCGGTTTCATGGGCGGCATTTAAGTTGTCGAACTATAAGAAACAAACAAAACAGTTTCCTGGTAAAACCAAAAGTTCTATGTTGAATAAACAAGCAGCGACATTCGGTGACTTCATACAAAGTGGCTCCAGAGCTTAAGGGCTGCCTAAGCCAAGGAAAGACCACGTGAAGAACGGCTCAGTGTGCATTTACTGCTCTACTCCTGTCCCCAAGGCCCTCTGGTAGCAATGGCAGAGTCCATCCAAAGGATGCTTCACAATGACAGTGATAGGTGGCCCTGTCACACTAACCACCACATCCTCAGCCCCTAGCACAGGACTGGCATGTACAGTAGACACTGTGTAAATACTTGCTAAATGAAAAATTAAGCGAAAAGAGGTTTACAATATCCTAGTCAGTGGGAAAAAAATGGGTTAGAGAAGAGGAGGTGAGGGGGAACGGGAGTGGAAGGAAGGAGGAGGAGGACAAAATTTGAACCAACACCAGTATGCTTCCAAATCTGGGTACTTGGATAAAGGCCTGTTTTAGCTGGGAATGATGGTGCAAACCTGTAATCCCAGCAGCTTGGGAGGCTGAGGCAGGAGGATCACAAGTTCAAAGCCAGCCTCAACAAAAGCGAGGTGCTAAGCAACTCAGTGAGACCCTGTCTCTAGATAAAACAGAGCTGGGGAAGTGGCTCAGTGGTTGAGTGCCCCTGAGTTCAATCACCTGTATCCCACCCCTGACCAAAAAAAAAAAGGCTATTTTAAATTTTATCTTTTCCTTCGTTCTTTTTCTTCCCTTCTCTAACTCAGCATATATACATTGCTTTGATCATAAGAAAAATTCAATTAAGACAATTTCTTTTAACCTATTCAACTAAAAGACCAAGGGAAACTCCTTGAGAGGTATGAACAGAGATTGAAGCTCAGCACACTCCCTCCAGCAGGGCACAGACCTGCTCTTGCAGCTGGATTTTATACTTCTCTGCTTCTTCAATGTAAATGTTCTGGAGCTTTTCACACTCTCCAGTGTAAAACTCCTTCAGCCGATTCTCCAGTTCTGCTTGGTCTGTCTGGTGCTGCTGGTTAAGCTTCTGGACAAATCCTTCATAGGCTGTTTGTAACTCATTCCTCGCTTTTTCTAATTTCTCACAGGTTGTCGAAGCAGCAACTAAAAGGAGATGGAAGAGAAAGGGAAAGTTGCCGCTGAATTTGTTGAATGTCCTAAATTCACAGTGTTCACAACCCCTGATGGTGACTCCAGAGGCGTACACAGTAAGGTCTCACTCCTCTGGTGACCAGTCCTAGTTCGCATCTTGAATGTCCCCAAAGGCCCATGGAGGCTTGGTCTCCAGCCCTGGTGCTATTGGGTGGTGGTGGAAACCTCATGAGGAGGCACTGATTGGGAGGTCTTAGGTCACTGGGGCATGCCTTGAAGTGGATGGTGGGACCCCAGGCCCCTTCCTCCTCCTCTTTCATATCCCAGCCATGAGGCAAACGGTTTGCTCTGACACATACTCCCTCCCCTCCCCACCAGGCTACACTGCCTCACCTCAGGCCCAAAGCAACGAGGCCAATCCACCATGGGCTGAAACCTCCAAAACTAAGTCAAAATAAGTCTTTTTTCCTTCATAACTGGATTATTTCAAGTGTTTTCATTACAGAACCGAAAGCTGGCTAACAAAACCAGATTTTCAAGCATAATAGTGTGTAACTGAACTATAAAAAGGAACAAAAGGGAATGATATCTGGAAGAAACAACAACAACAACAACAAACAACCATAAGACGCCCCAAAAGACTGACTACCAAGTGGTATGAGAAGAGCTGGGTTCCCGAGTAAAGATCACTCTTTTCTGTGATGACCAGTCTGGGCAATGGCCATAAAGAGAAGAGCCCACATGGGCCAATGTATGTATGTATTGCTTTTCTTTATTTTGTTTTGTGATGCTATGCTGGGGAAGAAACTCAGGGCCTTGTGCATGCTCTGCAAATGCTCTAGATCACTGGCCACACCCTCAGCCTTTCTCTGGCCAAAGTATTTCTGATGACAAGTAACTCCACTTAGACCAGCCAGGGTTAGAAGCTAAGACACAGAAGGAGCAGCAGCAATCACACAAAAGAAACAAATGGACTTTTAACTTGTACTGAATTTGAGTTGATGGCAATTTGCTATTTCAAAAATATAAGTGTAAAAACAAAATATCAGAATATACTAAACACAAATCACATAAAAACCTTAGGAATAAAGTACTACCTTTTAAAAGCTCTAATATCAAATAAATATACTGAAAGGTTAGCATATTTTTAAAAAGCAAAGTAATATGATAAACACAATTTTAATGTGAGACATTTACCTTTTCCCTATCACTATTAAAAAGAGGACTATGCACAATATAATACATTGTATAACACAGAGGTACCTATTTACACACTCTAGTAAATCCTAGAAAATCTCAAATGTCTCAGGAAGCCTGACTTCAAGATTTCCCAGCCTTCCTTCACCACTGAATAAAAACAGGTAAACAGAACATCAGCGGGTTTTTTTTGTTGTTGTTGTTGTTGTTACTGGGGTTTGAACTCAGGGGCACTCGACCACTGAGCTACATCCCCAGCCCTATTTTGTATTTTATTTAGAGTCAGATCTCACTGAGTTGTTTAGCACATTACTTTTGATGAGGCTGGCTCTGAACTCTCAATCCTCCTGCCTTAGCCTCCAGAGCTGCTGGGATTATAGACCTGTGCCACCATGCGCAGCTGGTTTGTATTTTGAATACTGCACAGTGCCCACAGATTAACACAAAACAGTCACTGGTAAATCTGTTGAATTAATCCTTACCTTTCTTTTGGTTTAAAAAAATACCTTTTAGGAATTATGGAAAAAAAACTGTTTTAGGGCAAAGAAAAGAATATTTTAGATCAATCATTATTCTACCTAAAGAATGTGAAATTGGCTGGTTTCTGGGATGAACTTCTTATAATGGTGTAGACTTGTTTCTCCAGGAATTTGCCACGTGGTGGTAAAACTAACCAAAGTCATTTGTCCCAAATCAGAATTCTTTCAGAGGAAAAGGAGGGCATGTTAAAGTAGTGGCCAAGAATAATGTCTACCAAAGAGAACCCTTAAATAAATCCATAAATATTTACTGAAGAGGTGCTATAGTTTAGATTTAAGTGTCCCCCCCAAGGATCCATGAGGTACCACTTTAGCCCCCAGCTAGGTGCTATTGAGAAGTAGGGGAACCTCTTGGAAGTTTGGACTTAACAGGAGGTCATTAGGTCACTGGGGTGTGCTCTGTGCTCTAGAAGGGAACTGTGGGACCCCAGCGTCTTCCTCTCTCATTCCCCAGTCACGAAATGGTTTTTGCTCTGCCATGACATATGGCCTCACTCAAAGCAACAGAGCCAACAAATTATGGACTGAAACCTCTAAAACTGGGAGCCAAAATAACCTTTTTCTCTTTCTAAGTTGGTTATCTCAGGTATTTGACCAAGTGCTCGAGAGCTATCTCACACAAGGGGAAAGGAACGTTCGATGAGACAGAAAAGCAACTTGGTGACTGACACAGAACAGGGGTCTATACTTGTTGAACCCTGAGATCCTATGAGAACCCAATTCCTAAATGTACAAATAAGGGAACTAACACAGGGAGGGTAAATACTTTGCCCATAGGCACAGTGCTGGTAAATGGCAGAGGGCTGGATTTGGGCAAGCAGCCTAGATTCTGATTAAATCTGTGCCAGAGACTGTGCTCCTCCTACCCTACCCAAGCTGCCTCTTGTTCCAAGAGCTGGTGGGGAACAGGATGGCGCCTGTCCCAGGAGGCTCCTAGTCTAAGAAGATACAGATACAAGAAGCAGCAATATTGGGCTACACCTAGAGTTCCAGTGAGTGGCACCCAAGTGAGTTCCCATCCAGTCGGAGCTAGGGGGAACCAGGTTTGGTCAGATTTTTAATATATTTTTTAAAAAATTGTGGTAAAATTGACAAAACATAAAATGTACTGGTACAATTCAATGGCATTAAGTACATTCACATTGCTGTGCAACTGTCAGCACCATCCATCTCCAGAGCTTTTCTCTCCATGTCCGCCCCCCCCAACTAAAAATACATATCAATTGATAACTCCTCCCACCCTGCCCCAGCCTCTGGAAACCACCATTTCACTTTCATTCTCCAGACTGAGACTGCTCCAGGAACCTCCCATGATTGGAATCACACAGTTCTTGTCCAGCTTATCCGACTTGGCATGGTCAGGATTTCCTTCCTTTCTATGGCCAAATAACATTTTATCATTCATTCATATATATATATATAT